CAAAATATTCCTCCAGTCCAGATTTTTTTTTCTCATCGCAGCCACCTGGCTTTTGGAGGGAAGCTATCCACAAGTTACCTGAGCATTAGCAACATGTGAGGACCACGACGGATACTGTTATTCTTGGGTTAATCTTGTTTTCGTATTATTTACTAACAAAAAAAGGACAGTTACTTTCCATTCAACCTAATAAAAACTTATTCCAGACTTCGTCACTCTCTGGCTGAATGCCAAATCAACGAAATCTACGAGAACCATGAGAACTCCGCCCATCCTAGTCACCACAAACACCACCACCACTTCCACGCGATTCCTTCTTCCTATTCTTCCTCTACTACCACCAAACCTTCTTCTCGCTTCCCTCCTACCAACACATCAATAAGCCACGCCCCCTTGGCGCCGCAAGAAGAGTATCTCGACGAGTCGGGTTCTTCTGCCAATTCCGCGAATACCTATTTTTCGGATCTTTTGTCTTCCACATCCTGTTCTGAAAATTCGACGACTGAAAGTGTTAACTGTAATTACGAAGAAACAAGAAACGCGTTTCTGATGGCTTCTGGATTCCCGTCTCTTTCTTGGAATGTTCAGGTAAGTCAATTCAAAAACTTTTCTGTAGAAATTTTTTTTAACTTGCTGCCATTTTTTTTGCTGATGTCCGTCTGAAAATTTTAATGAAGCCATCATTTCCGTAAACACTCTTATTAAAGCTCACCCAACTTTGAGCCCGCATATCTCGGTTCCTGTAAAAGATATCAAAAAGTAGTCAGCTGACGAAATATTTTTGGTATTATGATAAACATTTTGTTAGTTAACCAATTTTTGATATCACTTACAGGAAATGAGATATATAAGCTCGAAGTTGGTAGTTTGGGTGACCTTCTATTAGAGTGTTTGTGAGGTAGTCTTATTTTGAAATAAGTAAAGCTAGAATGGTATTTGTAGGCCTTTATCACTATATTATGTTTTCGATTCACTCAAGTTCAAAAAATCTTATTTTTAATTCTAAAAAATGATGAATTAGAGCACATTCCAGTATATTGTTACATCCATAATCCGTTCGCATTCAAAAGTCATTAATTTCCAAATGACCTCACCAATCCCTTTACTATGCTTCACACCTGTTGCCATCCGGGCGGTGACAAAAGAAGACACTCCCCTCCGACGCCCCGAAAAAAGAGACACTGTATCTCCAATTGGTTGCAAATTGCGCAGCTGATCAAAGTGTCGTTCGGATATCCTCCGCGAGCATATCAGGTTACGCTCTCTTTTCAAATTATTCGGACCACGACCGGTCAGCGCGTCTTCCTGTGGGGCTTCAGATGTTTACAACCAGATAAAAAGGGGCAATATGATGCTCTTGTCCCGGAAGAAAATGAGCATGCGTTGTGAAGGGTAATAAAGAAATTGAGAGATGTTTATGATTTATGGCTAGACACATAGAGCAGATTAGAGCTAGGGGCACAGAATTTGAACTTGTTCTAGGGGAATCTAGGAAATCCCTCTTGAGAATAAATGATTAAACAGTCCTTATCCAAATACAGTAACTTGAGAGTTTCCTCATTTCATAATCTGACCGTGTTCAAAAGTGTCAAGTGACCATGTTCACCTGATTATGTTACCCCGTCTTCCGCCGGAACCTCAGTTGGAGGTCTCTCCACTTGAACAAGTAGCAAGTAGAGTCTCAAGTACTTGCTCAACACAAATACCATTCCTTTTTAGAAAAGAGCCGCAAAATATAGAATTGATTTGAATGAACAAGGTCAATATGTTTCCCTTTTTCAGTACATCGGATCGTTTCCAATTTCTGGATCACATGTGGACAACTTGGGAAAGCGAATCGACTCGTTTGTGCCAGCTGGGAGCTCGGTTCCTCAGAATGTGGAGCTGTCGATTGCGATATCCGGAGTGAAGATTTGTTGTGAGAAGGTGAGAAAGCTCTTCTTGAGACACTTAATGGGTTCACTCTATTTTTGCGCAATACTGCCCATCCATATTATGCTAATTTCATTATTATGCTGAGCCTCTCTCCACGTGGTTTCATCTGTCAGCACTTTCCCACCATCAGAATGTGTTGTCATAAATTTGAAAATTGAACCAATTAAGCATCTCCACCATAATTTCATGTTCCTGTGTACTCCTTTTCGAGCATGACTCAATAATAGAACACGTGTTGCGCGGCTACTGGTCTGTCACAGTACCGAAAACACCGATTATCGGTCACACAATGTCTTTGTCTCTTTTGGAAGCAGAAGACGTGCCGACGTTTCTTGTTCGAGAAACGGATCGGCTTGACTGATGAAGCATGAATTTTTCAGTGAGAGGTTGCGCAATCGAGAATAGGTTAATTGAAAGAAAAAGGGGGAGATGTATTTGAATAGTGAAAAACCTGTAATAGAAGGGTCCTTATAGTTTGAGCTGAATTATCTCGGCTCCTAAAAGAGATATCAAAAAGTTGTCAACAAATAAATTGTTAATCATCATATCAGAAGTGTTTTGTCAGTTGACACATTTTTGATATCTTGCACAGGAATTGATATAATTTAGCTCAAACGTAAGGGACCTTCTATTACAGGTTTGACAGTATGTATTGTTAATTGAAATGTATATACCCATGTTCTTTTAATCAGATATCCAGGAAACACAAATTGCCTAACTTACAACACCTATTGCGCGGATGATACATCCATCTCCCTCATTTTTCATGCCTTTTTGTCCTTGAACGATGGCACCAACAGACCAAATTTTATAGACTTGTTCTCCTTTTGTGGTTAAAACCGAAGCGGTACGGCTTCTGAAGGAGTCGGCACACCACTAATCATAAACCGCCAACTTTTATGATCTACCTCTACCATTTTATGAGATTGTACGCAACGAATACAAATTAGCCTTCTGGATATGTGAATTTTCGCTTTCAATAGGGGATCTTTAGGTTTTGACGCAATTCGAGATTTTGAAGCCACTCAAACTCTTTAGTGTGTGAATATGAAATGAGACGATTCTCGAGAGTGACCTCTGCCATATAATTAACCTTCAAGAGAGTGAACTGAGACTTCCCCATCTTCTTGTG